ATCAACAGACTGACTTGCTGCTTCTCTCTGGTTTCCAGAGAAACAGAAAGAAATATGAAATGATAAATAAAACTGAGAGTTTCTCATTTTGTCATATTTTTCTGTTTGTCTGGTAAATTGCTGATTCATCTCATTATTAATGAAGCTATTAATCTGCAGATTAAAACAGATTAAGCTCCATCCGCACTCACCGATCAGCCATGATGCTCCTCTCATCGTTTCTGTTTCTGTGAAATCAAGAGAAGTTTGTGTTTCCTCCCCTTCCTCCCTCCTGTGGTTAGAAAACTTTAACAGGAAGCAGATCTGAGCTGTTTCAGCTGAGACTGGCCGAAAAAGACAGTTAGCAACATTAGCAACAATAGCAACATTAGCAGTGTTAGCAACATTAGCAATTTTAGCAACAATAACAACATTAGCAGTGTTAGCAACATTAGCAACAATAGCAGCGTTAGTAATGCTAGCACTGATTATGTCATCAATGTTCAGTCATTCTCAGGATTTATTGATGCTTCTCATTATGCGACAAACTTCTGAATTTTTAAATATAGAAAACAGAATGTAGAATCAACCTGCAGGTTAAGATGAATTAAGGTAGAAGCTGAAACTAAATGCTGATCCTTTATGATTATTAGACAGTAAATATTGGAGGGAAGGCTGGAGGCTTGTGTTGAGCTCCCCCTGCTGGTCCAACAGGTCACTGCAGCTCGCTTTCGAGGTCTAGTATTATTGTTGTTAATGTCTTGCCATACAAGGTTCTGTTCATTTTGGTTAATTATTTAATGTTATGTTCAGCTGAATGAACTTTTTTCAGCTCATTTTCTTTTTTGTGTTTTTATCAGAATTCATCATAAATAAATTCCTGAATTTTTAAAAATGGAATCAGAAAGTTAAAGATGATAAAACGTTTTGATGACTAAATGAATCTGATGCATCTTTAGTTTCTGGTTTTGTTGAAGTATGTTTGATTTATAAAAGGTCCTGATTAATTCAACCTGACAGTAACTATATGAATCATTTCTGAAGAACAGCGCCACCCAGTGGTAACATCAGATTTTAGTGAGTGTTTCAACACAACAGTAAGAAAATATGTCTGTTTATTAATATTAGAAGAAAACCAAATAATTAGAGGTCTTGTTGCTCCTGTGTTTGTCCACCAGGGGGCGGAAGGAGCCATTTTAGTCCCTTGTTTACTTCATTTCTTCGTTTCAGTTTCAGTTCATTTGATCCTGCAGCTGATCGACCGTCAGAAACTCGATGATTTTCCGCTGCAGAAATGATCATTTTGCATTTAATCGCCTGTTTTGTGCTGATCCTGCAGGTTTCTGCTGCTGACGGTGAGTTCAGGGGGTTTTATGTTCAGTAACATGCAGTTTAAATTATGCTGATTTCAATTTCTGTCCAGATGTTACATGACTTATGGTTTATTTATTATTCCTCTTTCAGTACAGAAACACAACATTAGTTTAATTTGAAAGTTTTCCTTCATATCGTAAAGATGAAATGATCTCATAAATACATGTTTTATAAATTACAACTAAATAAAGATATAATAAAATAATTTAAAACTAGTTGAAGTGTAGAGGATTTACTCTTTAGGTTAAAATATAAGAGTATAAAATTTGCTCATGAGAATAAAATGTAAACATAAAAGCTTTAAGCTCTGCTGGTTTTGTTGTTCATCATGCTGCAGTTTCTGATCAGCCCAGCAGAGCAGATCCGGCTGCAGCTGGTCGGGTTCGGATGCATTGACCAGCAGAACCAGTTTCTACTGGTGCTGCTCATTTTAAACCAGTGGTTACGTTTTAGAACATCTCAGCATCAGAAACATGAAGGAAAAACATCAGGATTCTGTTTGATTGAATCTTATAAGATCTGATGAAACATTTCAATCAGGGATGTAAACCTGCTGAGTCATGAGGAGTAGAGATGGTTCTGGTACCAGCTGGAAGGATCAGTGTTAAAGCTGTTCAGTGCATTTCAGATGCAGTGGAGCAGCAGCTTCCTGCATGCAGCCGGGACATCGTCCCTCATCGTCCCTCATCGTCCCTCATCGTCCCTCATCGTCCATGTGAGACACTGTGGTAATGTCTGGTTCTGTGGTCCGGTCCAGTGGTGGTGACCCCCGGAGGAGATGCTGACCTGCGGTGCCAGACTCCCGGCGCCGCAGCTGCCACCGTGGTGGAGTGGACCAGAGACGACCTGCCGGCCAACGAGTACGTCTTCTTCTACCGCAACGGCCGGCCGTACGACAAGTACCAGCACCGGTCCTTCAGAGGCCGAGTGGCGCTGAAGAACCGGTCCGGCGCCAGCAGGGGGACGTCTCTGTGGTCCTGAAGAACGTCTCTGTGGAGGACGAGGGGACGTTCCGGTGTTGGGTTCTGATGAGCAGCTCTGGGACCGAGGCGGAGGAACACCTGCAGCTCAGCCGGCTGAGGATCGCGCTGCGTTCAGGTACGTTCACCTGACCGCTGGAGATTCATCTGAGCTGGCAGGAAACTGATCCACCCTGACCTGCAGGAGACGAAGCAGGAGACGAAGCAGGAGACGAAGCAGGAGACGAAGCAGGAGACGAAGCAGGAGACGAAGCAGGAGACGTCCAGAGAGTTTTCACAGTCGGAACCATCAGTCCAAACGTTGCTGTTCTTGTTGCAGTTCTGACGGTTTGTGTTGTTGCTGCTGTTGGTTTTTATCTGTACAGGAGAAAGTAACGATCACATCAGACGGCAGAAGTTGTGTGATATGGAAGCCCATTTCCGCCACTCTGTTAAAAAAATAAAATAAAATAATCTCATTATAATGAGATAGTATCTCAAAATAATGAGATAGTATCTCATTATAATGAGATAGTATCTCATTATAATGAGATAGTATTATAATGAGATAGTATTATAATGAGATAGTATCTCATTATAATGAGATACTATCTCATTATTTTGAGATACTATCTCATTATATTGAGATACTATCTCATTATTTTGAGATACTATCTCATTATAATGAGATACTATCTCATTATAATGAGATAATTTTATTTTATTTTTTTAACAGAGTGGCGGAAACGGGCTTCCATAGTGTGAAACCGAGAACAAGGAAATCATGTCATGTTGAAATGCCTGGTGGAAAAAGCTAAAGCTAAGCTAACAGTGATGTCCTGTAAAGTCTGGACTTCATGGAAAATGAGAGGAAACAAAAACTCAGAGTTTTTATGTTGAAAATGCTAAGCTAATATCTGATTCACGACATTTATCACAGTAGAAGGTTTTACATATATTTAGATAACTATCTGTTTGAAAAAGAGGCAGGCACAAGTAAACGTACTTCACTTGCCCCATTTCTTTTAAAAATTTTCTTAAATTATCTTTCTATGGACATTTTGTGTCTTTAATAAAGCTGCTGAAGCTGAATGTGGTGATTCCAGGTCTGTTCAGACTAGCATTCAGGTAGCATTCAGATAGCAGTTAGCATTCAGGTAGCATTCAGGAAGCATTCAGATAGCAGTTAGCATTCAGGTAGCATTCAGGAAGCATTCAGATAGCAGTTAGCATTCAGGTAGCATTCAGGAAGCATTCAGATAGCAGTTAGCATTCAGGTAGCATTCAGGAAGCATTCAGATAGCAGTTAGCATTCAGGTAGCATTCAGGAAGCATTCAGATAGCAGTTAGCATTCAGGTAGCATTCAGGAAGCATTCAGATAGCAGTTAGCATTCAGGTAGCATTCAGGTAGCAGTTAGCATTCAGGTAGCATTCAGGTAGCATTCAGGAAGCATTCAGGTAGCATTCAGGAAGCAGTTAGCATTCAGGTAGCATTCAGAAAGTGTGGCTTGGTGACTTGAGCACAGAGAGAATCCCAAACACTGTGTCAAGGTGCAACAGTGATTATGCAGCTGGAAATATGTTAAATATCTGAGGTGAAAGTTGAAGAACTCGTCAGTATATGTGAGCTTTTAGCTTAATGAAACATCAGGACCATCTGGAGGCAGGAACAACAGTTTCCTGGACAAAAACTCATCAGCTCCTCCATACATCAGTGTTTCAGGTTCTGTTGGAGCTTCTTCACCTTCTCTGTATGGTTTTTTCTGACTTACTCCACAAACTGTGGCCACTGGTTTTTCCTCATCCACCAGATTTATTTATTCTGGACTCTCAAGGTTTTATAGGACTTCCTGTTTGGACGTTAGAGAGTCTGAGAGCCTCACATCGTCGATGGGAGTCGATATGGGTCACATGTCTGCGTGTGCAGGGAGGACGTTCACAACTGAGTTCAATTGTTCTACCTTTGCTGCCTTTTATTTAATATGACACATGATCCCCCATCTGGGTGAAATAAGATTCGACCATCAAATAGTTTTCCATCACATAGATCAGAAAATGTGACCTTCTGTTTTTAATTCAAATCAAATGATTGTATTTTCACCAGGCTGGAGAAGCCAGTTAATCACCTTCAGCCTGTTAGTATCAACAGGAAAACCCCTAAAACACTGAGGGCCAAAGGTTTGAGGGGCCAAAGGTTTGAGGGGTCAAAGGTTTGAGGGGCTTTGAAATGTTGCTGAGCATAAAATAACTTTCATGCATTGTTGAAGGTGACATAACTCATATTTATTGTTTTCTCAGTAAATTTTCTGTTTTCATGCTGGTTTCTTGGTTTGGGGTGAACATTATGACTATGGATTGTGTCGCATTGAACAGTTTATAGTAGAGATGTTTCATCACCAGAACTACAGACAGATTTCTGCATTAAATTAAAGACCATGTTCCTGATGGAGGAACAGTTTGCTGCAGGGAGGGAACCTAAAACTCATCCAAAAAAACCATCAGACTGCATATAAAATGGTTCTGTTGTCCCTGTATGTGTTTTAGTTTGGATCAGGTGATGAAACCAGGCCTGCTGCTACCCCAACCCTTCATTCCTAAACCCAAACCAGAACCAGAACCAGAACCAGAACCAGAACCCGAACCCTGCTACTGAGCTACTGAGCTCCAGGCTTCTAAAACAAATGTTTAGTTTTCTTCCCATGTTGTTCTTGTTCATCAAGCTCTTTATTGTTTTGTGTTAATTACTTTTTCAAATGTGCATCATGCAGGCGATGTTCCAGATTGTTTTCCAAAACACAAACGAAGCTGAGCTTCTTCCAGTGACGTGTGTTGAGGAAACGTGGCCATCAGCAGCTGCAGACTGGCTTCCTGACGGCGTCAGACTGATCCTTACATCCAGTGAGAGATTTAATGTTCCTCATCGACACACACCAACACACACCAACACACACCAACACACACCAAACACACAACACACACAACACACCAACACACATCAACACACACCAACACACACAACACACACCACACACACCAACACACACCAACACACCAACACACACCAACACACATCAACCCACACACAACATCAACAACAACATCAACACAACACACACACAAACACACATCAAACACACATCAACACACAACACCACACACACATCAAACAACACACATCAACACACATCAACACACATCAACACACATCAACACACAAACACAAACAAACACACACCACACACCAACACACACAACACACATCAACACACACAACACACCAACACACACCAACACACACCAACACACAAAACAACACACAACAAAACACCACACACACAACACACACCAACACACCAACACACATCAACACACATCACACACACCAACACACACCAACACACATCAAACACATCACACACACAACACACATCAACAACATCAACACACATCAACAAACACTCAACACACATCAACACACATCACACACCACAACACACATCACACACAAACACACAACACACATCAACACACACAACACACATCAACACACATCACAACACAACACACACACACTCAACACACACAACACACATCACACACATCAACACACATCAACACACACCACACACATCAACACACATGACACACATCAACACACACACACATCAACACACATCAACACACACACACATCAACACACATCACACACACAACACACATCAACACACATCAACACACAACACACATCAAACACAGACACACATCACACACATCGACACATCAACACACACACACAACACACATCAACACACACACACAACACATCAACACACATCAACACACATCAACACACATCAACACATCAACACAATCAACACATCAACACACACCAACACACATCACACACATCAACACACATCAACACACACCAACACACATCAAACACCACTAACACATCAACACACATCGACACACACCGACACACATCGACACACACAAACACATCAAACCACACAACACACACCAACACACACCAACACATCACACACACAACATCAAACACAACACAACACACATCAACACACAACACACATCAACACACACCAACACACACCAACACACATCAACACACATCAACACACATCGACACACACCAACACACATCAACACACCAACACACATCAACACACATCAACACACATCAACACACACACACACACCACAACACACATCAACACACATCAAACACATCAACACACATCAACACACCAACACACACATCAAACACACATCAACACACATCAACACACATCAACACACATCAACATCGACACACATCGACACACATCAACACACATCGACACACATCGACACACATCGACACACATCAACACACATCAACACACACTAACACACATCAACACACATCAACACACATCAACACACATCGCACACATCAACACACATCAACACACACCAACACACATCAACACACATCAACACACATCAACACACATCAACACACACCAACACACATCAACACACATCAACACACCAACACACACCGACACACATCAACACACACCAACACACACCGACACACATCAACACACATCAACACACACCAACACACATCAACACACATCAACACACATCAACACACATCAACACACATCAACACACCAACACACACCAACACACATCAACACACACCAAACACACACCAACACACATCAACACACATCAACACACATCAACACACAACAACACACCAACACACATCAACACACATCAACACACATCAACACACCAACACACATCAACACACATCAACACACATCCATCGACACACACCAACACATCAACACACATCAACACACATCACCACACACCAACACACATCAACACACATCAACACACATCAACACACATCAACACACACCCAACACACATCAACACACATCAACACACACCAACACACATCGACACACATCAACACACATCAACACACATCAACACACACCAACACACATCAACACACATCAACACACATCAACACATCAACACACATCAACACACACCAACACACACCAACACACACCAACACACATCAACAACACACATCAACACACACCAACACACATCAACACACATCAACACACATCAACATCGACACACATCGACACACATCAACACACATCAACACACATCAACACACATCAACACACACCAACACACACCAACACACATCAACACACATCAACACACATCAACATCAACACACATCAACACACATCAACACACATCAACACACATCGACACACACCAACACACATCAACACACACCAACACACATCAACACACATCAACACACCCAACACACATCAACACATCAACACACATCAACATCGACACATCGACACACATCAACACACATCAACACACATCAACACACATCAACACACATCAACACACATCAACACACATCAACACACATCAACACACATCAACACACATCAACACACACCAACACACAACAACACACATCAACACACATCAACACACATCAACACACATCGACACACATCGACACACATCGACACACATCTACACACATCAACACACACCAACAACATCAACACACATCAACACACATCAACACACATCAACACACATCAACATCGACACACATCGACACACATCAACACACACCAACACACATCAACACACATCAACACACATCAACACACACCAACACACATCAACACACATCAACACACATCAACACACATCAACACACAACCACACACATCAACACACACCAACACACATCAACACACACCAACACACATCAACACACATCAACACACACCAACACACCTCAACACACATCAACACACATCAACACACATCAACACACATCAACACACATCAACACACATCAACACACATCAACACACATCAACACACATCAACACACATCAACACACATCAACACACATCAACACACCTCGACACACATCAACACACATCGACACACACCAACACACATCAACACACATAGACACACCAACACACATCAACACACATCAACACACATCAACACACACCAACACACATCAACACACACCAACACACATCAACACACATCAACACACACCAACACACATCGACACACATCAACACACATCAACACACTCAACACACATCAACACACATCAACACACATCAACACACACCAACACACCTCAACACACATCAACACACATCAACACACATCAACACACATCAACACACATCACACATCGACACACACCAACACACACCAACACACATCAACACACATCAACACACATCAACACACAAACACACATCAACACACATCAACACACATCAACACACATCAACACACACCAACACACATCGACACACATCAACACACATCAACACACATCAACACACATCAACACACATCAACACACATCTACACACACCACACACATCAACACACATCAACACACATCAACACACACAACACACATCGACACACACCAACACACATCAACACACAACCAACACACATCACACACATCAACACACACCAACACACATCCACACACACCAACACACATCCACACACACCAACACACATCCACACACACCAACACACATCACACACATCAACACACATCAACACACACCAACACACATCAACACACATCAACACACACCAACACACATCGACACACATCAACACACATCAACACCATCAACACACATCAACACACCAACACACATCAACACACATCAACACACATCAACATCAACACACATCAACACACATCAACACACATCACACACATCGACACACACCAACACACATCAACACCACCAACCACATCAACACACATCAACACACCAACACACATCAACACACATCAACATCGACACACATCAACACACATCAACACACATCAACACATCAACACACATCGACACACATCAACACACATCAACACACATCAACACACATCAACACACCAACACACATCAACACACATCAACACACATCACACACCAACACACACCCAACACACATCAACACACATCAACACACATCGACACACATCGACACACATCGACACACATCAACACACACCAACACACATCACACACATCAACACACATCACACACATCAACACACATCAACATCGACACACATCGACACACATCAACACACATCAACACACATCAACACACATCAACACACAACACACATCAACACACATCACACACACACACCAACACACATCAACACACATCAACACACATCAACACACACCAACACACATCAACACACACCAACACATCAACACACACCAACACACACCAACACACATCAACACACCAACACACCTCACACACATCAACACACATCAACACACATCAACACACATCAACACACATCACCACACATCAACACACATCAACACACATCAACACACATCAACACACATCACCACACATCAACACACATCAACACACATCAACACACCTCCACACACATCAACACACATCAACACACACCAACACACATCAACACACATAGACACACACCAACACACATCAACACACATCAACACACATCAACACACCAACACACATCAACACATCAACACACATCAACACACATCAACACACATCAACACACATCAACACACATCAACACACTCGACACACATCGACACACATCAACACACATCGACACACATCGACACACATCAACACACATCAACACACATCAACACACATCAACACACATAGACACACATCAACACACACCAACACACATCAACACACATCAACACACACCAACACACACCAACACACATCAACA